AGGCTGGTTGCTAGTCTCACTGGTGTCACTGGTGGCTCTGGTGGCTCTGGTGGTTATTGCATATGCACACACGCAATGCATGCGACAGGATAAAATAGACAAAGCGTCGCCGCATGCATCGCGGGGGGTGGGGTGGGGAACGAACGTATTAAGGTACTCCCGTGGCGTTGTCCTAGTCATTTGCCATGACAGTGGGTGGTGAACAGTTTGGACTGTGGGGTAGGGTATCAAACGGTGGGGCTACTGAAGATTGGGCCTTTGGCGCTTTAACAGCGTCACATATGCTTCTAACGATAATAGTTTTCTGCGTAATTTGTTCGCCATTTTAGTGAAGAGTCGCATGGATATCGCGCTGACAAAACTTAGCCACACGCATTTGGTGTGGCATCCTGGCAGCACTGTGTATATCGGGATAAGCTTGGAGCTGGGGCGCTCTTTTGCACGCTGACACTTTTCGCTCCGACTCGTTAAAATTCATTTTAATTTGTAGTTGTAGTTGTTTGCCAGGGCAATGCCGCTGGCCATAAAGACAGGCCAGCAGTGAGACAGACAGCGCGAATGTTGAATGCGGAACATATACAGCGACAGAGACGGAGACAGTGACACAAACAGAGACAGAGACTGAGACTGAGCGTGGGCGAGCGAACAGGATGGCGCACGTGTCTCTGAAGCCGCATCCTGCGTAGCTTTATAAACAATTTTGAATTTTGCGGTTACGCGAAAATTAATGGACGCCTCGCTTTTGTGCGGTTTTTGGTTGCGTTGCCAGACGACCGAGCACATGGCGCATGGCGCATGGCCCATGGCTGCGGGGCAAGCAGCGCGTGCCACATCGTTTGCTTTTAGCGCTGGCGACGATGGCGGCTAAATTTTAACATTTTGTCATTAGTGTTTGCATTCTAGAAACGAGATTGTTGTTTGTCGTTGCGGTTGCGGCAAGAAATTGCAGCGTAATGGCAGAATGAGCAAGGAGCGCCTGCCTGTAACATGATGCGCATATCAAGGAGCTGGCTTATTTATGACTAGCGCCGGCATCCAGCAATCAATTAAAGCAATAACAGCCAGGCTAAGCTAAACAAAGGTCAACAAAAACCCGTCAAGAGCTGGCCAAAATACAACACACAACCAACGAACACACACACACACACCCACACACAAACACAAACAAGTATGGAGAAAAGTTTGCTGCAAGTTGCCAATGATTGTCAGGCAGTCGCATGTGTGTTATGAATAAGCCAAGAAACTTTTGCCTTGGTGCTGCCACTGCCACTGTTATCATTACAGTGCAACGCTTCCAGCCAGCTAAGGAGCCTCTCGCTGTTGCCGGAGCCAGCGAGTGAGCGCGGTTAATAAAACAGACAAACACTCAAACTTTTGCTATAAAAATATCTGGCTGGATAAGCTTGAGCGGGTTTTAGGGCTTCGTTTTTTTTTAAGTTAGCAGCGTTGTTTGCTTGCTAAACAAGTGCTATTAAAAGAGCATAAAGGTGAAAGGTGGGCGTAGCTGAAAACACTCGTAGCGCACGGCGTCAGTCGTAAAGGGTCTTCCCCTTATACCGTTGTACTACGTAGCTGCTCTGTAATAAGCCCCGACCAAATTTAAATGCAATACACAGTGAATGCAGTCGCTGAATGCTTTCGATACCCTCTATTCAAGTTCGAAATGGATGTTATTGTCTTTGGGCCGTCGATAAATGGCTCTGAACTTTTCGTGTGCAGAAAATAATATAAGTAGCTTCTATTTTCTTTTAACTGGAAAATGCATTTTATTTTTATTGGATTTTGTAGTTTGTCATCGAAAAATATTCCTCTTGGCAAAGAGGTATTTCAAAGTTCAGCATGCTTTGAATTGTTTGCGCTATTTTTATTTTATTTTATTTAATATACTTATGAAGAAACTTAGGTGCACTTTTGTAGTTAGCCTCTTGGCAAGCTTTTTAATGCGCCACAAAAAAAGCAGAGGTATAAACAAAACAGTTAAATTTTATAAGCTTAGTTTCATAAGGCTTTGTATTTTGCAATGCTGAATAATAAAAAATATTATCTACTGAAAAATGCTCTGACGCCAGCGTAAAGCTGAAACTTCCTCAATAAACAACTCTGGCTATCAACTTAATAAATAATGAGTTTCTTCTGGTGAAAATCAAAAAAATGAGAGAAAGCGTTAGATATAAATTAATATTAAAAATTAAATATATATATAAAAATAATTGTATTCAAAAAAAAAATTAGGGAAATACATTTTTAATTTTCTTATGCTGAAATGTGCTCTACATATTTTTCAACTTTTATTTAAAATTCAATTGTCCTGCTAGTTTCCTTCAGAAAAAAAATAAGCTACTTTTTTATATAAATTGAATTTGACAAGTAAATCAATTATGTTTTACTTAAAGCGGATTAGTTCTTGGTTGGAATCATGGGAGCCGATTAAAAAACTTGAATTAACTTTTGTTTTACATTTTGGAACTTTATGCACTACATGCGTTTCAATCTAATGGGGTGAATGAGTAGCATATTCATTTAATGCTGATGGATTATATATGCGTTGTGCTTGCAGCTGTCTATTTGCTTAATTTTAGTTTTAAACTATAGTTTTTGTTTGATAGCATTCGCAATGGCATAATAGCTCGATGACAAAAGCGACAGCGGCGACCCCAAAGTGCGAAAGGCAGTAAAATATTGAAATTGTACAGTTTTCCGTTGAGCAATGATGCGTAATGGCAGTCAAGTTTTTGCTGCTGACAGCGAATGACGCTGCGAGCGAGTTGAAAGGTGCACTCAAACACACACATGCACACGCCACACATACACAGACGTATGGATACATGTATGTGCAGTGAGATTTTGATTCTACGTGACCAGAATGCGGCAGTTGCGTTTGGCGTTCTTCTGGCCAATGCAGCTGCAGCGTCGGTGAAACGAGTCAAGTGGAAAGGCGACATGTGCATATAGAAATGCAGACAGACACACACAGTTGCATTTGTATATACATATATATTTATATATACCATATCGTATCTGATGGTCTTTAAGGGGCTTAGACTCTGGTAAGCAGCTTTGCTTGTTCGGTACACAACTTGTGTTCTTTTCGTAATAAAGATTGTGACATAACTGATTGATTCCTCCTATACTGCCATTAATCCTCGAGTGTCCTTGCATAAGTGTTGCATACCTTTCAGCGCTTTCATACGCTTCAATCAACGAACAATAAAGACATTAATAATCACTCACCTCTGTTTTTTGGCTGCCCGCTGCAATTGGTATTCCATTAATGTTAACAAAAAAACTGCAATCAATTTATATTTTTATTTTTGATTAACATTTTCCATTTTATTTGATTATTTCTCTCCTGCTTTTCCGCATTTCGCTATGCATATATTAACTTGTTTGCCTGCACATCTTGCGGGGATTGTTGTGTATGAGTGTGTGTATGTGTGTGTGTATTGTGTGTGTTTGTAAATATGGATCTATCCTGGGAGTGTATCGTTCGATTTGATTCGATTGAAAGGCTCCTAACATAATTATGACATTCTGCTTGCACGCTGTTCATAATTGTTTGTGTTTACTCTTTTTCTATTTTAACTGCTGCTAATTTCAATGCAATTACGTGTGCGTGTGCGTGTGCTTGTGTTTGTGTGTGTGTGTGTTCATGCGGCTGTTGTCATTTTCAACATATTTCTGTTGTTTTATGCAGCTTTGTTTAATCTCTGGCATGTTTTTTTACATTTAAATTTATATATTTATTTATTTCTGTTTGGATGAGTGTTCATGTGTTTAATTTGCTTTTATCAAGCACACATACATACATTTATAGACGTTCTTTAATTATATGCAATTTTGTTTTTTTTTTCCATAATATACACATATATATTTATATGTACATACACACAACATTGAATCATTTTTTTTTATATGTATATGCATTTTACTTAAACCGTAACTATGTATACATAATTAAATTTATTTATGCTAAACACATAGGCATATCTCATATTATAGGTAATAGTTTTATAAAGATTCTTGCTTCACTCCAGGCCATCTCTTTCCATATTTTTGCTTAGAATTTTGCTTTATTTTCCAACATTTTTTAACATAAATATGTTTAGCTGCTAATCAATTTGTTTATTTGTTTTTTTTTCTTCCGTTTTGCCTCATATTTCCTTTTATCGGTATCATAGTTTTGTTTTATAGTGTATTTAATGTGTTCTTTTAAAATTATGCATAGCTTGTTGCTTTGTTTAGCAGACAGTTTTGTTGTTTTCTCAAATAACATTTAGTATATATGTATGTATATAAGTATATATAGATTTGTATATATATGTAAACTTATGCATACACTGCTGCACAGTTTTGCCATTGGCTCTCAAAAAACACGTTTTGCCAAGTTTAAAAAATAAATCAGTTTACTTTGTCAATAGCATCGTTTACTCTCATCGCATTAAATCACAACTTAGAGAAATTAGACGCACTTCCTGTTGGGCTCTCCACATCCTCCAATATAGTGGGCTAATTTGAGTTTTGTTTCGTTTTGCGTTTTTTGTAAAAAATAGTTTTCAATTTTGATGTTTTTCATTTTCATTTTCATTTTCGTGTTTGTTTTTTTATATTTGTCTTTTTAGTTTGTTATTTTTGTAAATACCATAAATAATTGTGTTTCGTTAACATTTAGCATATAGTTTTTATAGTTACAATTACAATCTTAACTAAACATTGACTAAACTTTGTAATTTGCTCTTACTACACGTTCCAGCTGACGTCAGGGACACTGCATATATTTTTATGTATTCTCTTTCTGTTTTGGATTTGTTCACATTTTCATTCTCATTCGCTTTCTCTAAATATTTCACTATTTTGCCTCCTTCAGCTTGTTTTTATTTAAAGATTTCAATTTTTTGTTCACATTTACATTACACAGATACATTAATAGGTTTCTATAATTATGCCCTCATTTCAAGTGCTGCTTACTTAAGTAGTTGTAGCTAGTCATGGGTACATCTAACATACATGCATTTTATATCAATAAATTGTTTTTTTTTTTTGGGTTTCTTTTGGTTTGTGTTGCTTTATCACTATGTTTTTTTTACCTTTGTATGTGCACATTTTCTACTATTTTGACTTGTGTTTACATTTAACTATTTTGAATGTATTTATTTTTCTTGTAAATATTTATATTAATTTTTTCCCAAATATATTTATTTGATTTTCTTTTTAATTTTGGTTCCCTTTGCGCGATATTTAAACTCAATACAGCTTTGGGGTAAACATATCGAAGCAAATGTGGCTCGACCTAACTTGCCGCAACTTTTTAAGGACATGTTAAATTAGGCACATCTATTAAATGAGCTCTCGTTAAAACTAATTACTCATGACATGCTTCTAGGGGCTAAAGGTGGTGTCTGCTTGGCTTAGCAGTGATAACAGTTCGATAACCATATAAAAATAATAATTTGAAATTATGAAAACAAATTAAATGAATCAGTTGGAAATTTCAGTCAATAAAATGTCGCGATAGCTTTGATAAATAATCTTTTAACCCGAATTAAAATTTCTAAATTTGCTTCTACTGACACCAATACCTCGAAAACTTTGCGAGTGGAATCGAAAGGGTTATGAGGGATTCGTGCACTACAACATACAAAAACCTTTGACCTTTGACTTTAGCACCGGCTCTATTCTAACTCTGGTAGGTATACCTACTGCTATATGTGTACCATATGTGTAGTTGCTGAATTGGCCCCCGACAAAAGGAGGTTTTCTATTGCTACATATCGGCGCTCTCTGACAGCGAGAATATAGACACAAATAACACACATACATATATTTTCATTTATTTAAATCATTTTGTTTTGTGATTTCAATTAGTTGTTGTACATATTATAGTTATTAGCTATTGCATATTTGGCCTTACTGCTGTTGCTGTTGGTGTTGCTATCGCTGTTGCTTATGCTCTTTATACTTAAACTACGTTTGCCTTCAACAAATTGGATATTGAGTTAATGGGCGTTTATTTTATATATACTATATTTTGTATAAATAGATATTTTATATGGTTTGCTTGAATTCATATCTGATGTGATAATCTTCGATCTGCTTGTTCCTTTCAAATGTATCCTTTGTCATTTTGGGTTACTCTTCACCTGCTTCTCGTTACTCGCTACTCGTTAAGCTACATTTCTCTAATATCAACCGAGGGTGTGAAATAAAATTTGTCACTTTTGCATTTCAATCTTTGTACAATTCGGGGATGCCATAAACTTCATTTACTTGGTTTACTGGTGGTTGTTGTTGTTGATGTGGTTGTTGTTGCTGGGCTTGAAGTTGCAGCTGCTGCTCGCTGTTGGGCAACTGCTGGTGCATCCAGTGTGGCTGCGCATAATACAACTGTGGGGCAAAGTGCGTTGCTTGTTGTTGTTGTTGCTGTTGTTGCAGCTGCAATTGTTGTTGCTGTTGTTGCAGCTGCTGTTGCTGCTGCTGTTGCTGCTGTTGCTGTAGCTGTTGTAATTCGTATATCTGCGGCTGGTGGTGGTGGAGTTGTTGAACGTGGTGGTGCTGCGGTTGCTGTTGTAGTTGGTAACGCGGCTCCTTCACGTAATCGGCGCACGGTGGCTGCTCCTGCTGCTGCTGTTGCTGCTGCTGTGTGGGATACATGGCCACCGCTCATGGCAGCTACACCAGCAAACTGGGTGCCAGCCACTCATCCTCCGCCAGCTGCAATTGCCACAAGCTAAGTATCAGACGTACGCACTACAGTCTGCCCCGAGACTTACCTGTGGACTGACCTGGAACTGTTGCATGGGATAGGCCACAACGCCAGCAGCCTGAGGCAGGGCGCCACCGACGCTCTGAGTTATCTGTGGCGCTGCGGCTGCCGCTGCACTGGTCAGCTGCGGCTGTGGCGGGACACTCTGCCAAGTGCCTGGCAGCTGTACGCCCATGCTATTGGGCAAAAAAAGAATAATGGTGTTGCCAACGCTTGTTCGTATTTAATCAGTGAGCGCTGCTTACCCCATGTAGCTGGCCTGCTGATAGCCTGCAAATTGACCGTAGGTGAAGCCTTGCATGCCCTGCAGAAACTGGCCGGGCTGCAAGGTACTGGCCGGTGCCGCTGTGGGATATGTGGGTGCCGGTGGATACCAGTAACCGGCCACTTGCTGCCCATAGGCGGCTGCTGCTGCGGCCGCGGCAGCTGCTGAGCCGAAGGGGAAGCCCTGCGCCAGCGCTTGGCCCGCAATGGCGGACATGTGATTCGGATCGCCGCTCTCCTTGCCCCACGCGCACTTCACCGGCTGCTGGTTGATTTCCGTATTATTGACAGCTACGATGGCGTGTGTGGCTGCTTCTTTTGTCGAGAACCTAAAGGCGAAAATAAGTGTGTGTGTGTAGCAGAGTGTAAGGTTAGAGCAAACTAATTTGCTGGGGGAGTTGGCTGCAGATTGACCTGCTTAAATTTCCATTTAACCTGCAGCAGCATCAGCAACAACAAGAACAACAACAACAACAACTCGACAACAAGTTGTGTTAGCCAGAACAAAGCGTAAAAGTGGTACAAGCGTCTGTGGAATTGTTTTTGCGCTTGTTGTACTTGTAGTAGCTGCTAGTTGAGAGTTCTTCTTGCTGTTGTTGTTGTTGTTGTTGTTGTTGCTGTTGATGTTGTTGTGGCTGGGTTTGGGTATAACTGCAGCAACTACGAGGGCAGCGGCTACGGCAGAGACCACTTGGAGTCCCCAAGCTCATTATGTTACAAAACGCCAAACAATGCCAATGCGGCTCTTTCGCCTCCCTGTGCCCCTTGTCATGCCCTCTTACACTCGCTCTCAGTGCTCGGTGCTCTCGCGCTGCCTTTGCTCTGTGCATACCACAGAAATGAGTTTTGGATAGCGCACAAAAGGCGCACACGGACCTGGCCAGCAACTGCAATGCGTTGCCCCCTTTGTTGCTGGTTGGCTGTTGGGGTAATGGCGCGCTGTTAAGCCTCAGCACTCGCCAGGAGGGCCAACGGCAGCCATTAAAACCCTATCACCATTCGTGGCGGCAGCTGCGATCTGCTTTCTGCTCTGCCCACAGCTCAGCTGCATTTCCCCAGCTTACGTTTCTCTCATGCTATTGGCATCGCTTTTGCCTACTTTGGTCGGGGATTTGGTATTTGTTTTTTTTTCGTTTTTTTTTTTGTTTTTTTTGCCATGGGCAGCGACGTTGCTGCTGTTATTGCGTTTCATTGTTTTGTTGCCTCAAAATTTGCCTGTTGTTATTGTTGTTTTTGTAGTTGTCGTTGGTGCAAAAGTGTAGTTGATTTATTAACGGTGCGGCGGACCCGTAGCTGAACGGAGGCACATTGAAATGGCGTGCACTCAATTGCAACGACAACAACATGGAAGCGGTTTTGAGCGAGGAGCTGGGCCGCAGGCCACAATGCATACCAGTCGCCGTCAACGAAATCAAAATGGCGGGAAACAATGGGCTAATGTGGTATCCAGAAGCCGCTTTTTGCTTTTGATACTTTTGCTTGCTTGCTTTTGCGTCACTTTTATTGTGGTTCCTGTGGCTATTGAGCCACATGCGTTGCATGCGACAGACAGTGGAATGTGCGTTACGTATACGCACGGGGTATTTACTACTTACCGCACAAATGCGTAGCCCTTATCCTTGAAGACGCGTATCTCCTGTATTGTGCCATATGGTGAAAATGTCTTCTGCAATATCTCCTCGTTGAGAAATCCAGAGAGGGCGCCATTGATGCCGCCACAGTATACGGTGCAGTTAGTGGGGCTGCTTTGGTTATAAACCTCATCAAAGGTCAAAGGTTTGATATTCACTGAAAATGCAAACAATACAAATCAAAATGATGTGTCTCGATGTAAGTTGTTTGGAGGTGATCACTTACTGTCTGCCTTGGTGGCTGGCGGTTTTCGGGTGGCCCAATTTGTGCGTATCGAACGCGAGCCGAGCCACTGGCCGTTCATAGCAGTGATGGCGGTTTCCGCTTCCTACAAATGCCAAATTAAATGGAAAACAATTAGCTAAAAGCTGAGCGCTATTTGCCACAGTTTGTATAGCCGCTTAAGCCGCTTACAGCCAGGCAGCCTGAGCTGCTGCAAGGCCAAGTAAAAACATCAACAAACAGCTCAGAAAGTGTTGAAGAAAAAACAATTGCGGCTGTCGAAAAGTTGCTCCTTGCTCCTTGCGACTTTGTTGCTGGCAACAACTTGGGCGTTCTTTGATTCGCGATGCCTCCAGCTGCTGCCCCACTCTCCCCCAACCCTCTTCAAGCAGACGCTGCATGCACAAATTATAATTTCAATTTCACCCAAAAGGTATTTCGTGCGTATCAAACGTGATTCATACAAAAATGATTGCAGCCAGCTGCAACTCTTGCATGCAGTCAGTAGGGTATATGTGTGTGTGTGCTGCGTGTGTGTCTTCGTGTGTATGTGGTTTGGGCGTTACCGAGCAATTTTCGTTGCGGCACACTAAAAGTCCAAGGTGCAATCGAGCAACATTGCCATTATAGAGTTTGTTGGCATTTTTTGGTGAAAATTCCGTGCGCCGGTGGTGCAACATGGACCGAAACTAGGCACCCAACGCCGCAGGTTCTCTTAAGCATTTTCTACTCTTTACTTGGGGACTACGTGCAAAGCTTGAAATCAGTTTCAAAAATATTTAAGTGTTACCTAACTGAATGCTCTATATAAAGAACAGAAACTATTAAGCTTCAAAGCTTGCAGCGGCAGCGGGAGAAAGGGTATTTGAAGTGCGTAGGTTAAGTAAGTGTATTTCCAGATATTTAATTAGACTTAAATGTAGTTCTATTGAATGCTCTCTCTGAAATGGCACGAACTTGCTAGCAGAATATAACTTCATGCTCTTTCAATTGTCGCTTTATTTACTACTAGCTGATATCTTGTAAGAGTATTTCTTAGTCTGTGTATAGCCAATTGAAGCTCTTTTTGATATTTTCGCTTTAATTTAACCGCTTGCACAAAAGTCAACATTTGAGTGGCTGCCCCCAGCGATAAACCAAGCAACTGTCGCGCAACTTTGTCCATAATTTAAATTGAGTGAGTGTGTGTGTGTGTGTGTGTGTTGCCTTGGTTAAGTCACGCAGTTTGCGTGCGTGCGCATTTTTATGCATTGCCAGTTGCATTTTTCATATTTGCATAAACTATAAATTTTACATTTTTTAACCGATACGCATCGTTGATTGCGACACTGCTGCAACAACCAGGACAAGCAAGCAGGCCCGGACGGGCCAGCAAACAATGCGACAGCCCGCCGCAGCGCCTCGACCCCGGGCATCAGAAGCTATTTAAATATTTTACATTTATTTATCAGCCGTGGCACTGCGGCGCCTGCAGCTTTAAGCGGCCACATGCAATATTTAATTCACTGCTGCTGCCAGTTGTTGTTGCTGCTGCTGTAGCTCCCCATTTGGCTTGGTTTCATTTGACAGGCGCTTCAAGTGCAGTCGCTGTAACAAATGCAGTTGCAGCTTTTTTTGTTGTTTTCGTTGCCGCTTCTGCTACTGTTTCTGTTTCTTTGCCAATCGCAATTGCAATTCCATGTGTCAACGGAAATTGTCTTAACAAACGGTCAGCTTAGCTGTTAGCTGCAACTTTGGCAGCGAACTGATGGCCACGGCTAATGCAATGCCACTGACAGAGCGAACTTTGACCAAAAGTTGCCTTTGCTGTCGGCCAAATAGTTGTTGCAGCTTCAAGAGTCTGGCCAAAAACTTTATCAATCATTTTGGTGGTAAATTGCTTAGAAAACATTTGGTGAACATGAACTGCAAAACGGAAGTGAACTGCAATTTCTCGAGGCTTGTTTAAGAATTCAAGTTTAAGAGTATGGCCCAGTATTTGCTAGCATGATATTCAAGGGTAAATCATGCGCATAAATACGCTTTCAAATGCCTCATTGCCTGTCATAAGTTTGCATTTTCAGTGCACAGTTCAAGAACCTTTAAATAATTTGCCAATTCATCTAGCTCAAGTGTCTGTTAAATACCACAACATGACACCCGATCGCCTGGCTCCAACTTGCCAAAACTATTTATGAAACTCTCACTTCAGGTCCAAGCATAACCCAACAACAACAACAGCAACAACAACAGCAAAAAGTAAATCTATAACGACAAGAACAACTGGCTCAAAAAATGTCGAAAACTAATTGCAAAGTTTCTGAGCAAAACATGAGGCAAATAACAAACGGAACAAACAGAATGTTTTGGTTTGGTGTAGACAGTTTTTGGCCATGGCTTTTTGGCTCATTGGCATTGGCACTTGAGTGTTAGAAATTTTCTTGGTTTGGTTAAGATATCAGTTGCTGTTGCTCTTGCTGTTGTTGTGGCCAGGCGAAATTAATTAATTGTGTACGGGAAATTTGCAGCTAATAGCGAACAAACTTCAGACACGTTTGCCTGCCTGTGGCTGTGACAACCAATGCAACAATGGCCACAAAAAACAACAACTCGAAGGAGGCGGTAGCTTTGTGCTGTCGAAGTTTAAATACCCTGGCAGTTTTAAATCGAAAAATCTTTGCCACACAGAGGTGTATTCCGCCAGAACTCAAATATCTTATTAAATAGTCTTACTATTTTTCAATCAATATTTAGGTTCTCTGGCAGATGTATAATAAACTAATCGAATGCTGACAAAAACCTTGCCGACTTATGAGCGCCACGTGAAGCAGCTGTAAATTAATTAAATTTCACTCAAACCCTAAGCCCTGCTGGTTGGCAATTCGAACATAAAACAAATCGTGTGCTTAAGTTAAAGAATTGCATAAATGCCGAATTCCAGTTACTGCGTAAAAGTTCATTTAATAGAGACGACAACTTCCGCTTACGGATAAGATAATTATTTTTCACGAAAGATGGCAGCAAAAGTTTTTGACTCGCTGGGCGCCCAAATTTAAAGAAAATTTTCTGTAAATTCAATTTGATGTTCAACTTGTTGTAAGTCATTTTGGTGCAACTTTTGCTGTACGCCTTTGTAAATATTGATTACTTGATAAGCGTAGAGAATCCTTTAATGCCCCCGCATGGCTTCAGAAACGGAAATGGAACTGCCGACCGTGGGAAGCGTGGTTGCGGAGGTTCGGGGCAGCGGTAGAAGTCACTAAAAAGTTTTTGTTGCCGAGCAGCTCAGAAACAGAACCAAAAAGGCGAAATACCTTCATTAAGCGAATAAAGAAAAGCAAAGTAAGTTGAAGAATTTTTAAGTTGTTTAAAAGGGTTTTGTCATACTTTTCATCTGTTTACTAACAACAGCCAGGCCCCCACCTCATCCCATCCTATTTGCCACAAATGGTTGGGCTGACATTTTGTGTACACAACGTAAGTCGGGAGCAAGACATTTTAAATGTTTATTAAAACAATAAGGAAATGGTTTGTGCCTGGCGCAGGCAAAAAAAAAAAAAAAACACAAAAAAGGGCTAAGCAGGAAAAGGAAAAACTGTAGCGAGCGAAAAGGTGAAAAAAGGCAAAGTCAACACACACAAAAGGGGGATAATCCCCACACAAATACACTCTAAGAAAATGGGAATGTGTTGTCCTTTTTTCTCCTAGCAACCATTTTGTCTTTTAATAAAGGTAACCAGACGCACAAGTATTTAGTGCTCGTCCCACTCCCCCCACTCCTCAATCCGGTCGCACATCGTCTCAGGCTAAAAGGTTTGGGCAGCCAAGCTTCTAAGCCAGTTCTGCTTAGTTCTTCGGTCAGATTCATTAACGTGGCTATTTAGATAAGCGCCCAGAGGCTTTAAGGCCTACCATTATCCAAGTCGCATCTTAAAGTCCGAGCTCCAAAAGCCACAATGTCTTGACTAACTATCCGTTTGGCAAATGCATGATTTCTCTGGGCATTTCTGATGATTTCTTGATATTCAGAGAATAACTCAAGTGGCAAATCGTTTACACACTTGAAATGCTGTCCCATTCGTCGCATTCTAAAGCATCAAACAGATATTGATGTGTAAACCCAGCGAGAGCCAGCTCCCGCAGCAACTTTTCTTGGCCCAGTCAGCCGATGGCTGAAAACTGTTTTCATTTCGTTTAGACCAAAAATGTTTTCGATATTTGACCATTGCCTGGTCACACATCACAACATTTTTGGTGCAGTGGTGCGAGTATGGAAGGGCGTGGGCTTGGGCGTGGGCGTGGGCCCTAAAATCAGTATTTCACGCAAGAGCGCATTTTTGTCAAGACATAATTCCATAGGATTTATTTGTGTATGCCATTTTTTTTGCTTTTTCTTTTCATTTCGATTCTGTTTCCCATTCCGGTCTCCCATACTCCTCTCAATTGTTTTTTATAGTTGCTGGCCCCGGGGCCAGTCCAAATGCTGCTGTTGGTCTTGTCCATTTACTCGGTATGTCCAGTGGGTCGGCTTATGCGTGTGTTGCCAGTTTTAGGCTTCAAATCACTTGTTTCTGAATTATTATGGAAAACATAAAATGAATGTTCAGCCCATTTATATTTATAACCAAGTTTTATTCGCTCCAGCAAATTTATTGCACACAACTTGAACATTTTGCCTTTTGTTTAAAATTAGCTTTTGTTCGAACTTTAAAGAGCGTCTCAAAAATACTGAGAAATTAACTTTTAAGCGCGTTTCTTTTTTGAGCTAACAAATTAATCTAAATCCTGAATTTGTAGAACTTATTAAAATGGGTTTTCCTACATTTTGCACGAACTTTTTATTTTGTTATTAGTTGTATATTCTGTTATTAGTTTTGAATTCCTGGAAATATTAAATGGCTGGGTCTAATAAGTTTTTGAAAGGTAATTCTTCATTTTAATACTATCTTACACCAAACACATTGCGTAAGTATGTTTGATTATAATTATGTATGCGTATTAGTGATAGAGATACAAATTGATTTTGATTCACGGTAACTCAAAAATTTAAGAGCTCAATTAACCAAACTTGATGTGAAGGTATAATATTCAAAGATTTTAAATATTTCACTTTGAAAAAAATTGAAAAACGTATCTTTAAACACATTTGGGTACCATATTTATGGGCAGAAGATTTCCTCAAGATCAGCCCATATAAACACTGATGCGGACAAAGCGGCGTTAGCATGTGTATGTGTGTGTGTCTGTGTGCTTTGTAAATGTATATGTATAGAAGGAAGCTAGAATGTTTGTAAAGGTAGCTTGGCGCGAACTTCAGGTTATCTCCTAGTCTGGCACTCCCGCCTTGAAAGCTCACACTTGCTTTATTTTAAATTCTATAAATTTTTACGTATTAAAATGTGTGCTTACGCAAGCACCTTTTGGACAGACAAAATAGCAAATTTTATTGACGTTTGAAAAAATTCTGAAAATAGCTAACATACCCAAAACATTTGGTTAACCGAAGTTATTCTGCTCCCTGCCATTGACAGCAACATATGCAAACATAAGCTTCTCAGTTGATGAAAGAAATAAAACTACACCCACGGACGACGCAGTGTAAGAAACATGGGTTGTGACAGAATGGGGCCGACATTATATCGTGTTCGCTGCACACATTGTCAAATTTTGATTTTGAATTGAGCACATTATGCAACGCAGAACGCAGACACCGATTGCAGCCAGTTGGCTCAGCCCGTGCCACAGCCACTTGCAGCTCTAATGCGATTAAATGCAGTCTCTTAACTTGCCACGGCGCTGTACTTTGTCTGTAATCAGTTTTGAGTCAATGCCAGCCGCACAGTGGCCACTTAAGATGCAAGCAGCAACAGTATCAATCTCAGCAGCAACAGTTGCAACATCCACGGCAGCAACAATCGTGAAGCAGTTATAGAGCTGTTGCTCATACGCAGCTTTTGCCGCATTGTCGCACTGTCGTATTGGCGTGCAATAATATGTTAATGTTATGTGTGATAATAACTGATGCCGCCAACGACGGCAGCCATTAGCATTTTCAAGCAGCAGCAGCAGGCGCACAGGAGCTGCCTACTGCTTCGGCTCTTGTCTCTTCTGCAACGGCATGTTTATTGCGCTTAATGTTTGCGTGAGCTGCTGTTTTTTTTTCTGTTCAACTACACGCGTTTGTTGTTGATGTTGTTGTGATTTATGATGCTAATGACACGCAGCCAGGAGGCGCCAGGACAGCCTGCCTTGGCTGCCGCTGCCGCTGCTGATGCTGATGCGGATGCTGTATCTGGTGCGGCTCCCCTGCCTTGATGGTTATTAAATTATGGCAATTTGTGTACATCGTCAGCGTTTGGCAGCGTTGGCGGCGTTAGCTGGTGTTTATTTAAAGCATGTTGCCGAACAATTTACGCTTAATATTTGAAAGCTCCTTCAGCAATGTATTATGCAAAGCTCTGGGATTGGGGAAATGTTCATATGCAGGCGGAAGCGCAAAATGAAGAAAATGTTTCTTCCTTTTCCGTTTGCAGTTGCAATCGAAATGCACACAAACACACAACCCGCATGTGGATGCGTTTGTGTGTGTGTATGTGTCTGCAGTAAGCCATTCGAAAAATAACTTTTCAATTTCCGCAAAACCACAGAAAATATATAAACTTTGCACAAAAATTTAATAAAACTTTTCGCATAAATAAAATTTGCATTAAATCAGCTGCAAGCGACGGCAGCCGGGGGTTGGGCATCGGCTTAGGGCGGCGCATATGAGTGCATAAGGTTGTGTGTGTGTGTGTGTGTGTGACCGAGTGTTTGTGTGCAAAACTCATGTCGAGAAACTTAATTTGAAATATTTGAGTTTGCCATTGGAACGCGTTTGTTTTTCTTTCATTTGCTTCTGCGTTGGCATCGAAACTAATCGAGAAAGTTCGAAAATTGTCGCTCGTCCCCCAAAGCATCGATGCAACATAAAAAGTTAACTAGTTAGTGCCAGCGACGCGTTTGACACGTCGCAGCCGCATTTTGAGAGCGCACCGATTCCAAATTGCGTATACGCCGCATTGTCTGAGCGCTTACGTTCAATGTAATACAACAACAGCAAAAGAAACAACAACCTCTCTGTCTAAAAAGGCTTAGACTTAGGCTTTGGCTTATGCTTTTGACTGACAGCCATTGGCTGTGTGGATGTGGTGGGGTCTAAGCGTCATGGATTATGTACATCTCTCTCGCTCTCTATCTTTCTATCTAATCTGTGTGCTCTTCATGAAAATATTAATATTAGCATTAAAATTTAATTAATAACTCTCAACATTTGCTGCGTAATTGACTTGTAGCGCCTTCGGATTCACGTCATTCGCCTGGCCGACTTGAGCATTGATTTGACATTGGCTTTGATTTTGATTTTCTTAACGTCTGTCTGACTGCCTGGCTGTCTTTTGCTAAGCTTGCGATATTTTTCTGCTTGACTGCTTGCCACACAGCGCGTACAGCTGAGCTTTGCTGCCTTTGATCCTAACCGCATTCAGCTTTGGCGTCAACTTTCAGCTTTGTCGAATTTTCTACCTATTAAGCACATGAAATTCAATCACAACAAACAAACACACACGTAAGCTTCGTGCGTATCAGTTATTTCTACCCTTATCACTTGCGGTTGGAACATATTGAATATGATGTGTAAACGTTTTCATGGTTTTCTTAAAGAAGGACCGTGAGACTTGTTGCATCTGTGGCAAAGACTTTACATTTTGTGTGGGTGACTCGAAATATTCTCTCTGTATCCCTCTCTAGCTTAATTTGTGTGCAAAGTGTCTTAAATCACACAACAGAATTTATAAAAATGGAAAGCCTAAAGGCATTTTTATAGGCAACACCAATAAATATGTATACGTAAGAAAGAGGCGTATTTAAATTCATGACGTATATACTTAAATATACTCGTATATTTGCATCAGAAAAATAAATTAACTCGAATCAATAACTTGAATCAATTTTCATATTCCCGCTTGTTTAAGTACCACCTGGATATTATAAGATCCGTTAAACCAAAGAGAAGTATATAAAGAATTTTTCATTTTGTCAATACCAATATACCAAAACTCTACATATTTAATTTGTTTGATTTTAAAGCGAATTTCTTAATAGGCATTCTGGTCTCAGCTAAAGTCCTTTAAAGGTTGAATTATTTGTGCTGTGCTGCTGTTTTATTGAATTTTCACTAATTGCTGCCAAGTTTTCTGGGCTTGACGTCTTTTGAAGTTCATTCAAGACAGTTTAGCTTAGTTTTGTTTTAGCTTACCGATTTCTTGACAAAGCTGACGAATCCATAGCCCTTTGATTTCAGCGTCTGCGGATCGCGCACAACTCGGCAGTCTCTGTAAATGACAGATAAAAGAGCATAAGTTAAATATTTATGTACGCATATATAATCAATTTATAGCAGCTTTAACTTATAATTGGGTGAGATGCTGCTTTATTTTATTAGCTAAATTTTAAATGGTCTGGCACATAATTATGAAGGGTCACTCAGTTTAATGTATCCAAGCAATTTCAAATTATCTCTTAATGTTGATAAAGCAGACCCAGAAAAATTACAAGATAGGATAATAGATGCTTAAAGTCCCAGCAAATTAAGAGGAAAAGCTGAAAATCAAAGACGTGGGCGACGTCATGTGGCCTTTGCCAAGAAATCCAATAGAATTGCATGTGCGAATAGAAAGTGTTGGCAATTGGATGTCTGTATAGGCGACTGGAGATAGAAGAGCAGGAGAATTATAAAAGCAGCTCCTTAAGAACGTCAGCATGCGGCTTATGCGCTGGGCGTGGCGCCGTTAGCCAACTTAAAAGGATTTCTGCTGCAAAAATGCCACAGAAAGTGTTAGACCACGTGTCGGATGTTGGCCGTCTATGTTTGGTGGAGTGGAGGAACAGGGCTTTAAATATGTGTGCCCGTCTTGCTTAAGCTACGAAGATATATTTTGCGCTACCCACTGATGAGTGTGTGGTGTGTGCGTGTTTCTGTGTGTGTGTGTATGAGTGTAAGTGTGAGTGTGTGTGGGTTTGTGTAATACTTGGCTCAACCGCAACACCAACACGAACAAACATCAGCTAGGGAAAGAAAGGGCTGGCAGCCCGCATGTCGACCGCGGCATTTAAAAAAGGCCAACTTGATTGTAAATCACGATAAAAGTCAATTTTTAATATGAGTTTTAGTTAGCCCATGGCCCACTGGCCCAGCCCCCCACCCCGCCCACACTTCAGCCGATGTAAAGTGGCCGACAAAAAAATAAAAAGAATGTATTTTAATGGCCTTTGGCTCGGCTTTAGCTTCAGTTTCAGCTTTCCAGCTTCAAGGTTGCAATTTATGGCGCTGACCAACAGCGAAATTGCATTGGCCCAGGCCAATGGACCGCTGGCCGAGCCCCGTAATCGATACGCACATAAATATTGGGGGAAAAAGCATATTTAATTAAACTTTAATATTTATTAGCTACCAAAGGAATTTGGCTGCAATTGCTCGGGGCCATGTAATTGGGTAAGGGATTGCGATTGGGCTTGCACTCGGCTTTGGTTTTGGGTTTGGTATTCTCTGGGCTGGTCTGGTCTTGTCTGGTTACCTTTCAACTCCCACTCTGTGGTCTGCCTGGCACGCAAACAAACAGACGTTCACGAAATGAAAATATGCACACATACATGCACAGACACACACACACATACAGCTGCATATGTCCGTCAGCAGTGCACACAAATAATGAAATAATACAGCCGCCCTTTAGCCGGGCTTCGATTGTGCTAACAAATTAAATGTATGCAGAACAGAGAGGGGCATATATATACATTGCATATCTGTGTGTGTGTGTGTGTGTCTATGTGGTGTGTGTGTGTATGCTTGTTTGTGTGTGTACAAAACAGGCATTGCATGTTTGCCGCGGCACCCAACCAACTTATCATATTTCACAATCGATAAGCATCAGTTCATATTTTCATAACATTTTTGTTTGAATATTTTCACATGCAGCAGACACAAAAGCAACAACAACCTAAGCTAGATTTCTCCTGCCATATATAAGAGGAAACAAAAATAAGAAAATTTCGGTAAGCATTTTCTTGAGCATCGTGTTGCAATAATATGCTTGAACATTTAACATAAAACAAACATAACCTTTGGCAGGGCTCGAGAAATAAATCCAAATGTGGCGTCAGCTGATACGTATATGTATATGTAAGTAATAGTAAAATATATATGTATGTATGTATGTATGTGTGTATGCTGCTTGGGTTGCCACTTCGCTTCAATGGCTCTCAAACTGTTGCCATAGTTGTTATCATGCACGAAAAACTCAGCTCAAAAAATTTGACTACGTCTATGAGTGTGCGGCAACAACTGTGGCAATTTATCCGCTGACGTTTACTTATGCAGCAGTCAAGTGGAGTGGTGCACGGTGGTGCATTGTGGGGCATGGGCTGCGTGTCGAGGGCGTATGCACACTCATACACTCTGTTTGCACGAAGAATTGAGCAGTGATGTTGGGTGGCAACGAGCTAACGCAACGCATACCAGCCAACCTGCATGTCTTATTGAAAGGATGAATTTATGTGCATAAGCAGGACCTGTGCATCTGTCTGTGCGTTCGTGTATGTGTGTGTGTCTGGGCATGCAGCTCAGGCCAATCAATATCTTTTTTACAAATATTGGCAAAAGTTTTGCGTTTGCTTTTACTTTGGCTTTGGCTTTGGCGTTGGCTTCGGCCCTGCTGTTGGCTCTGTTTCTGGCTGCAGCTGGAAAATAAATTTCCAAAAAAATATTTTTGTATCTTAAGTGCATAAAACTATAAACGTTAAACAAAATATTTCTCACACACACACACACACACATATACCCAAATGCGGTTATTTATACTACATATTTTGGCTCTATTCCCAAGCCTTTGGCCCCGTGCCTCGAGTAGCTTTTGGCCCGCACTCTCGTGGGGGCAACTACTCATGCCACAGTCTCAGTCTCGGTCTCTTCAGTGTATCTTCGGGGCGCGTTGAGCGCATTAGTTGGGAGGTTGTCGCTATTTTGGCTTTTACAATTGGTTTATGCTAACAATGCCCCCTCTCAGCCTGTGTGTGTGTGTGTGTGCGTGTGTCTGCGTATCTTTGTGTGTTTATGTATTGTGCGGCATGTGTGGCGGAAATTCTTTTGTGTTTGAATTAAAATTGCATAGATGATTTATAGAGAAATTCGAGATCGAGCTGATGCTGATGCTGCTGCATCGAGCTTGGTTTGAGTTTGCTCGAGTAAATAAGATGAAAACTTATGCATGAGATTTTTGCGGCATGACACAACGAAAGTGAAATGCAATGGCAGAGTTTCAGAGGGGATGGGCAAACCAAGAAAGTTATCGAAATGCTGTGAAATATAACACAAGCACCGAATGCCTGATTGCATAAACAATAAATTGCCAAAGCAGTGGCAACTAGACTACAAACGCACACAAGCCCATACATACACTCATTCGTAACTCTTAAGGACGGGCTCTTATCGCCAGAGCCAATATTTATTTAGAGAAGCTAAACTATCATTACAAATTCTCAAATGCAAAGAATAAATACGAAACATATCAATAGCCCGCTTGAGTCAACTAAACCAGCAATTTGCAATTTCCTGGCCATTTGAAGCACTTTATCGACCCTTCATCGCACTCACATAACGACTCTCTCTATATAATTTGCAGCTCGTATGTGATATTTTGCAGTAGAGTGGAGCAGGCACTGCATGCTAAACATATCCACAGTAAACACAAATTACTCAGCAATGCAAACAAATGTAAACCGATAATATCGCGCATTCAGCTGGAGAAGTGTCGAGGGGCAGTCAAAATCCATCACAGAGTCAATGAATTGCGGCTGTCCTTAAATTTCCTTCAGCCAATTTTTTTATTGCTCTGGACATGTATCAGCGTTCAATCAGCATCCAGCTTAGTCTGCAGCATCATGCCATGCCCAGCAACATCATCATCATCATCGTCATTATTGTCATGGACATCATCATGAGTATTGTCGTTGGCATCATGTAAGATATCTGTGAAATATATTTTTTGTGGCCCTGTTTGCATATTGGCCCTTTGAATGGCCAGCATTTTTCTCTTGTATGAATTTTTACAAATTCGCCAGCGAATTTTTATGCGATTTGCTCATTTCTCCTATTTCTCTCTCTCTTCGAGTATTTTATTGGCTTGCCTTGCCGATGGGCTCTGTGGGAGTGGTTGCAGTTACATCGATCAGATCAAATACAGTTGTAAATTCAAATGAAATACAGCGCGCGCGCATTCTTCGAAGTTGAGATGGTTGAGGAGGCGGGTCCTGCGAGTGGGCGTTTTGCTGTTTGCATAGCCAAATATTTAATGTGGATTTCCTTGAGCATTTTATAAGTTTGGCGCTGCGGCTGCATTCTATTATTTGAATTGATTTGATTTTCTGGCCAACTGCTAACTGCGGCCCAAGAATTAAGTAATAAATTGGGGGGCCAGAAATCGATGCTGCATGACTTAAAGTTAAATTGGAAGAGTCACAGCTACGCATCCTTTGCATTCAATCTACTCGATGTGGGTGTGGAATAGGGGGCGTGTCGCGTGCTAGTTCACCGACTGTGCAGCATTTATTTACACTAACATGGTAAATTCGCATTGAGACAATTTCATGCTCATCTGCATAAAATCAATTCCATTTTGGAGACAATTTGAAGATTGGAATACAAATTTCGAATTATCAACGTGGGACACAAAAAGAAGTCAAATGCTACAGCACTTTCGCACCATCCAGTCCAGTGGCCAAAGCAGCGATCGTAATCAGCATTGAACCGGCCAAAAAGGGGCAGAGGCAAAGAATGGAAACGAGAAAGAGAGAAATGGCATGTCCTGCCCGTTCCCTTGTCTGTCTGGTACTGCTGTTGGGGCGCCACGTTTTTCATTCCTTTCAGGCATTTACACCATCGACGCGCTGGTCGGCATCGGTTTGGAGTTTTGGAGCAAACGCCAGCGCCAACGTCATGCATACGTAATGCGGTCGGGGACGCCAGCAACGCAGCAGCAGCAGGAGTAACAGGGGCAAGGAGCAGATGCAGAGGCAGCTGCTTCACTAATTCCACAGCAGCAGACTCTATGTGTAAGTGTGTGTGTGTGTCAGTTTGAATTGGTGTGCGCAATGCAGCGGCAAATTATGTGGTGTGTGATTTGCCACACACATTTTACCCAGCCTCCCAGCTTGCCTGGTTGCCCCAGCTCAATGTCTAGTTGCAACACATTTACTTCTGCATTTGTGCCCAGAGCCGCTATTCAAAGAAACGGCCGAGGCGCAGGCGATATTTTAGCGCCAAGGAGTCAAAGAGCCA